TTTAGAAACCTAGATAGAGTGCTCTGTGTTTTGAGGAGGTAGATGCTCCTGCAGAGGGCATTTTGGGATTTCCCACTGTGGGAATATAACCTACCCTCCTGTGACCTCATTTATGAGACGTTCAAGTACCTCTCCCAACAGATGTCTTTTTTGAAAAGACATCCATGTGACACTCTTTTTATTGTTAGCTTCAGCTGTCCAGGCTCCTAGCAACTAGATTCTGTGGATGTGAATGGAGATAAGGGTCACTCTGAAAATTTGTTTCATGGCATGTTCTAGAGCATCCACAAAAAAGCAGAGTAAAAGTTAGTTGCTGTTATTGCTCTGTTTTTTTTTACAAAAGTAGTAAAAGGATTAGAAGGAATCCATGTTTAGTTATATTTATAATATTTTGTGAAATGAGATAGTATTATAATACCAATGCCTGACTGAGTATGGACTGTCATAAGCAGAATTCGACACAGAGATGACAGAATTAGGAATTGGCTTAGGAGCACAAGGAAAAGAAGGTAAGGAACTAAAGTAATGGAATCAGGTGTCATTCATGAAATGGTTAATAATACCACACCAAAAGAAAGGACTGTGGGATAATAAAGAATGTTATCTGTTCACCTTTCAGGAAGGCACAGGAGAATAAGTAAGCAATGTTTCCATGTAAAGAAAGGCATGAGATTTCCCAATGCTCAAATGAGAAATTTTTATCTGAGGAGATGAAGATTGACTGCTTTGAACAAGCAGACTGTAGGAATATCATTCCCAGGCTAAGGGAAGGGATAGGCTACAACATGAGGAAAAGCTTCAAATAATATTGGTAATCAAAGTAAAAGGTTACCATATAATACTTCAATGGGGCAATGGGATGGAATCTGATGTAACCAAAAAAGGAAACTGTTTCAGAAACTGTTAGGGTGTAGGCACTGATTTTTTCAGTGAGAACATGTAGGGGATTCCTCAGAAAGAAGTAAAAGGAAAAAAGGCATTACAAGGGAGACCATAGTTTCCTGTGCCAAGAACACATTGGAAACACATTGTATAAATTAGGAAACTGTAAAATCCCTACAGAGAGGGACAGGACTATGAAATAATCGAGAATCATAAGGAGTAGAAACCCAATAATGGCAAAAAAACTCTACAGTACAGAAGAGTTTAGAAAGTGGGATGGAGTTAGAACAAAAAATAAGACGCAATGGGAGGTATAATTAGGAGCGGTGCAAGCACCATGCTTGCACGACGCTTCTCTTCTGAGCAGGGAGAGGGATGTAGGCTGTCTGCAGACAGCTCATATTCCATATGACAGGTCACACCTGGTGAGAATCTGCAGTAGTTTTCTATAAGGAAAACATCTGTATTTCCCCTGTTAATTAGGGGCAGCCCTGCACTACTTACTATTTCACTCTGAAATGGAAACTGGCACAGTTGGTGCCTGAAACAGGACTATCTGCTTAGTTTATGTGGCAAACATCACTTCTGACACTATGATCATGCAGGAAGCTTTGTTAATGCTGGAAGAAAAAAATAAGATGGGTGCATGAATGTCAGAAAAAAAAGATCAATTAAAGATGCTTAACATAAGTTTCAGAAGTCGAGAAGCTATATGAAAAACCTGAGCATCAAACTGTTAGAATGAAAAAAAAATAACAAGTGTTCAAGTAATAAACAACAGACAGTCTCCCGCATGGGATATGAAGGTGAATCTTTATGCAGAAGGCCAAACAGAAGAGCTTGAGGATTTGTGGCCTCGAGATCTACTGCTTAAGCAAGAAAAATACTCTGCATCTTCAAGGAACAGAGGTAAAAGCAGAGTGTGAGTAAGGTCAATCCACCTCATCAACAGATCTCCAGAGGTGGAGAAGACGTACACTGGAGGGACCAGAATAACATGGTCAATGACACAGCCAAAGAGGCATCTACCCTTGAAAGGAGAGTAAATTGGATGCTCCTTAACCACTTCAATACCGGGCACTTTTACCCCCTTCCTGCCCAGGCCAATTTTCAGGTTTCAGCGCTCTCACACTTTGAATGACAATTGCGCAATCATGCAACACTGTACCCAAACTACATTTTTATCATTTTGTTCACACAACTAGAGCTTTCTTTTGGTGGTATTTAATCACCACTGGGGTTTTTATTTTTTTGCTAAATTAACAAAAAAGACCGAAAATTAAAAAAAAACACTTTTTTTTTTTGTTTCTGTTATAAAAGTTTGCAAATGATTAATTGTTCTTAATAAATTTAGGCCAATGTGTTCTACTACATTTCTTTGGTGAGAATAACCCAAATCAATATTTATTATTTAGTCTGTAGGAAAGTTATAGAGTTCACAAACTATGGGATATATCTGAAAATTGATCAATCCTGAAGTACTGATAGCCAATCTAATTTCTTGAGGCCCAAAAATGTCAGATATCCACCAAATGACCCCTTTTTGTAAAGTAGACAGTCCAACGTATTTCATAAGAGGCATGGTGAGTTTTTTGAAGTTGTAATTTTTTTGTCATAATTTTTTGAAAATTAAGAAATTAACTGGTGTGGTGGTGATCAAGGACACTTGATAATTTTTTTCAATTTTTATTACATTTTTTTTCTCTTTTTTAAGATTTTTTTTTTCATATTACACTACGACCAAAGTAATATAATGTTACCATAGTAACATTGTACTACTTTGGGGAAGTGATCAGTATTTTCTTTTTTTGCACACAACTTGATTGCTTATAGAAAAGAATTTCTTTGCTATAAGCGAGCATTTAACTGATTGAAATCGATTAATTCAGGTTTTTTGTTGGCCACAGCTAATCACATGAAACAGATGGGCTGTGATTGGCCCAACATGTGCATGTGATCACTGTGACCATTCACAGCTAGACACACTGGAATACAATGGATGGCATGAAAGGAAGCCATCCATTGTTTACAACTGTCATGTGACCTGATGTGATTGGTCACAGCAGGTCACATGGTACTGGCAATGGGGCCGGTACACAGATCTGTCATCGGCCGTGTCCAAGGTACACAGCCAGTGACAGATCTCGCCACAGTGTGGCCCTGCGGGCATGCACAAGGCACGATCAGGGAAGGACATCTTATGACGCCTTCCCAGATCGACGAGAGGCTCGTCCGGCTGTCATTTTATTATAGGCGGGAGAAGTGGTTAAAGAGTTCTATAGTCCCAGCATACACTTTTATTTTCTAACATCAGCATTGCACTAGCAATACAAACAATACTTATAAGTGATGATTAAATAAAACCTTACTGGAAAAATCTCCTTTCATGTTGTGAGCACTGCCTGTCTACTGGCCATCTCTTTCCACAACTTCCTGGATCCCCTGCATGTTTTCAACTTTACATCTGTTGTTTACTTTTAATTTCTAAGAACTACATTTCATCCCATGGTACCTTGATGCCTGAAAGCAGTGATTCCTGTACTGACTTCGCCTCCTGAAACTCCTCCTCCCAGCAACTTTGTAGTTCACAAGGCAGGCTCTGTGAATTCTGTGACACAGCACTGCCTACTTACAGGGCATAGTGAATGCATGTACAAACTTCAAGATCATCCAGATTATGGTAACAGAAGTAGGCTAGAATAAGTGAAATGCAATTTGGAAAGGAATTTGATTTACATTTTTTGGTCATAGATTCACTTCAAGGGTCTAATCATTTCCCCAGGTATAGAGCCCGAGTGTTCTATTCATATCAGTGGACATTACAGTTGGAATATGCAAGATGGTTTCTTTTATAATAAGTAATCCATTCAGATAGAGATGCACAAATCTGAGTGACTGCATAATTAGGAAAAACAGCTGCACCACACTGCGCAAAACGGATACCTTTACGGTAGAGTCCAAGTGAAAATCACAGATATCCTTAAATGTAAAAACATCATCAACCCGTATGTTTGTTAATACAGATACATATGAACCATCAGGCACACAAAGAGGCAAATATACAGTAGTGTGTTTAATTGTAGCGCCTAACAAGGTATGCTTGGAACCCTTGCAGGTCGATCTTTGTAATAAAGCATCAGAAAACCGTGAAAAAAAATCTTCTGCCTGCAAGTTTAGAGCATAATATGCTAGTATGCATCACATTTACTAGCCCCTTCATTTCCTGAATGAACACAGATAGCAATCAGTACTGATTACTCCTGTGCCCATTCATCACTGAAGAATAGTAAACAGACCTCATTTGATGTTTTTGGGGAGGGGGGCTCTGTCAGGTAGGCTGTATTTCTATTTCTAACAGCAGCCCTACTGTTGGTACACTTGACCTACAGGGAAGCTTATAATAAAGCTAACCAGTAGCTACAAGGAATAACTCTTAAACATACACCATTTAGGAGATATTCTCTGTTACTGCAGCCTGTATACATCTCATACTAGCACATTATAAAAGATTTACCTGAAAACAAAGCCATCCAGCAGAGTGCTGTCTCTGCCTTGAGGTCTCCATCTTCAGCCGGTCTTCCTTCCGGGTTCACTGGCTGCAGCCATTTGACTGGCCGAGCCGCGATGATGTCACGCATGTGCATGGGAGCCTCAGCTGTGGCAAAGGCTCTCTTAATGGAAGTTACATTGTCCATTGAGAGTGCAGTCTGCATGCACCAATTACATCACCGGAGCCGCTAAAGTAAATATCTCCTAAACGGTGCACGCTTAGGAGATATTCACTGTATCTACAGGTAAGCCTTATTATATTCTTACCTGTAGGCAGGGGTGTATTTGCTGTGAGGCAAACAAGGCATTTGCCTAGGGCGGCACTTTTTTTTTTTGGGGGGGGGGGGGGCGGCGCAGCGGCGCCGCCCCCCCTTTCCCACGGACGGGACACTTCGTTCAGGGGCGGGCTGCTGTGTCTTACCTGGGTCCGCAACTCCATGTCCCAGTCCCACATCAATCCGGTCCACGAGGCACTGCTGGAGGAGGGGTAGAGAGGTTGTCCGGTCAGTGACTCCGGTGTCTTCATTTTCCCAGACGGGATGTGTGGGCGGGATGACTTGCCACCCTGTCATCTGGCCACACCCCCAGGATCACTCAACAGCTCCACCTCCTCGTCGGTGATTGGCTGCCGGTACTGTAGCTCAGGAGAGGCACACAGGCGACCAATCACTGGCGAGGAGGTGGAGCTTGGAAAGGAGGAGCCAAGCGGCAGCACAAAGGTCAAAGAAGATCGAGTGAGGGAGCTTCCGGAGCGAGTGAAGAGGAGGAGAGCGGCCGGAAATGGAAGACAGCTGACTGGTAAGTGTCTGTACCGTGCAGATGGTGCTGCTGCAGCAGCCAGGTATGCTGGCTGTAGATGGGAGAGGTAGGGAGCGAGCCCCGGCTGGAGTAGGGGTCAGCAAGGTAAGTATCATTGGTGTCAGTGGGAGGAATAGTGCCCCATCATTGGTGTCACTAATACCAATGATGGGGCACTATTCCTCCCACTGACACCAATGATGGGGCACTATTCCCCCCCACTGACACCAATGATGGGGCACTATTCCTCCCCTCACTGACACCAATGATTGGGTACTATTCTTCCCCCCACTCACACCAATGATGGGGCACTATTCCCCAACCCCCCCGATACCAAAGATGGGGCACTATTCCACCCCCCCCACTGACATCAATGATGGGGCACTATCCCCCCCCACTGACACCAATGATGGGGCAATATTCCTCCCACACTGACACCAATGATGGGACACTATTTCCCCCCCACTGACACCAATGATGGGGCACTATTCCTCCCACTGACACCCATGATGGGGCACTATTTCCCCCCCCCACTGACACCAATGATGGGGCACTATTCCTCCCCCCACTGACACCAATGATGGGGCACTATTCCCCCCCCACTGATACCAAAGATGGGGCACTATTCTCCCCCCCCACTGACACCAATGATGGGGCACTATTCCCCCCCACACTGACATCAATGATGGGGTACTATCCCCCCCCACTGATACCAATGATGGAGCACTATTTCTCCCACTGACACCAACGATATGGCACTATTCCTCCCACTGACATCAGTGATGTGGCACTGTTCCTCCCACTGACACCAATGGTGTGGCACTACTCCTCCCACTGACACCAATGATGGGACACTATTCCTCCCACTAACACCAATCCAGTGATGAGCACTATTCCTCCCACACTGACACTAATGATGGGGCAAAGACGAATTCTCCTGCGCTCTAGGACAGGTGGCGAATAGATGGAACCAGGCCTGGAGAAATCGTCCACCAATGCATAAAGGGCTGTGCGGCTCCAAAACAAGGCTGGGGAAGCCCGATCAATACTGCAGAATGAAATGAAAATGAGAAGCGCACCAACCTTGCGCATTACCTCAGTAACCAAAATGTATTAATTGTAAAAAATATACTCACAAACAGCGAATGAAATCAGGCATGTAAGTCCTCACAGGGACTGATGAAGAAGGGACCCCCCTCAAAACGCGTCAACTATACTGAACACCCATTCCCTTGATGGGACTCACGCTATCTTCAAGTCCCTGTGAGGACTTACATGCCTGATTTCATTCGCTGTTTGTGAGTATATTTTTTACAATTAATACATTTTGGTTACTGAGGTAATGCGCAAGGTTGGTGCGCTTCTCGTTTTAATTTCATTCTGCACTAATGATGGGGCACCATCATTGGTGTCAGTGGGAAGAATAGTACCCCATCATTAGTGCCAGTGTGGAAGGAATAGTGCCCCATCATTGGTGTCAGTGTGGAAGTAATAGTGCCACATCATTGGTGTCAGTGGTGGAAGTAATATTAACCCATAGTTGGTGTCAGTGGGAGGAATAGTGCCGCATCATTAGTGCCAGTGTGGGAGGAATAGTGCCCCATCATTATTGTCAGTGAGGGAGGAATAGTGCCCCATCATTAGTGCCAGTGTGGGAGAAAAAGTGCCCTATCATTGGTGTCAGTGTGGAAGTAATAGTACCCCATCGTTGGAGTCAGTGGGAGGAATAGTGCCCCATCATTGGTGTCAGTGGGAGGTATAGTGCCCCATCATTGGTGTCAGTGGGAGGAATAGCGCCCCATCATTGTCAGTGGGTGGCTCTCTAATAGGAAGAGGTGGGGCCTAAATAGGAAGGGGTGGAGTTTACAGATGAAGGGGTGGGTCTTAAACAGGAAGGGGTGGGCCAAATTTAGATACGGGGTGCCCGATTTTAGTCTTGCCTAGGGCAGTACAAAACCAAAATACACCACTGCCTGTAGGTACATGAGAAAAAAAGACTTTACTACCACTTTAACTGTGCACAGCACAACAAAAACCTGAAGTGGAAATCAATGTTCTTGCAGCTGTATGTGAGGACTGAGACTCCCTTTGCAGAACTTTATAAGTTCCTGGAGAAGCCACTGTACGTATAGTAATAGGAGTTATGAGATCTTTGTTGCAGTCATTTGTCCCTTTTGGAGAGCTGAGAAATCTCGGCTTTTTATCAGTGTCTCTATGGAACAACTGTTGCACTGCAAAGCAGAGAAAGACTAAGAAAGGAGGTAATGCCTCGCATAGTCACATACACAAGACAGTTGAACCAAGCCGGGGACCAGAAGAGATAGAGGATGGAAGCCGGCAGCACTTCGGGGGAGAGGGGGCACAGAGGGGGATCCGTACAGCAGGAGGGTGGGGGTGATCAGGACGGGGAGCGCAAGTAATAGAACCGATCACCCTGCAGTGCAGCCAAAGGGAGGGAGAGGTAGCAAAGCTGGCAGCACTGCAGAGGGAGCCACAGGAGGATCAGTGTAAGCAATAAGGCAGTACAGCCAGCCCTCCAGCTCAGCAGGTGCATGGGTCCCTCTTTTGAAATTATGGGCCCAAGCCCAATACAGGAGAGCCGGCTGTACTGCCTTATCAGCGATCCTGCCAGTGGTGTTTACTACCACTTTAGTAATAACCACTACAAGGAGAAAATGGCAAGAAATTATAAAAAAATATGCAACTGCAAAGTAGAAAGTAAGAACTGTAAGGTAATTTGCAGTATATCCATTGACTCAGATTCACTTACTAAATGAATTCTTAGAGACTAGGCATACCAGAGGTGGTGCCACTCTTAGCATCTGGAAAACGGGCTTGTAAACTGTCATAGACAACCCAAGTGGCCAAGAAATTTTCCAGAAGCATTGAGGGGTATGCAAATAGTTGTGAAAAGACAACATGGTTCATCATGCCCTGCAGCTAACTAACACAGTTCACTAAGCTGTGCAAAGCACTATAATAGAAAGCTAAAGGAGAAAAGGTCACAGTCCATAATAGTCCTCAAAACAACAGTTCATCGGGGGTGTGATTAGTTAAACAGAGGAAGAGGACATATGTTTCAGGCCGTAGGGCTGTTTCATAATTTGAGTATTTAAAGACAGGGACACATGAGCAGTCGTTCCTCTGCTTTAGACTTGGACACCGTGTCCTGCAACTAACTGTTACAGAACTGAAGGTCCGGAAAGTGCTGCAATGTAGAAATCAGTAGCTAAAGATGACTTACAGCTTATCTTTCACTAGGACCATAGTTTTACTCACAAAGTGAGTTTTTAAAGATGGTATCACACCGGAGGCTGTACCTTGGCTCAGGACCTGGAGAGCACTTGGAGGCTAACTAGCACTGTGCACTAAGGCAGAACCCAATAACCTAAGGTCACATTCCAGGCTAGCCCCACAATCTTTGGTCCAACGGGGTCTGGGTACAGCCCCCAAGGCATCTCTGAGGATAAGTTCAACTGGATATCTGCGGTGAAGAGACAAGCTTATGTAACTTGTTTAGATACTTAATTAACCTCTCTGGCGGTATGATTATTTCAGATTTTTGGTGCTGAAAGCGGTACCATTATTTTGCATGGAAATATGTAGTTTTTTTATTGTAGGCTGTAATATTTAGGATAACTCACTGAAATCTGTCCGAACAAGAGTCTATTAAACATCTCGGGTATGATAAAATTTGAAACACAAAATCATAAATTATAATTTAATAAATAATCATAAAAAATAATAATATAATAATATTACATTTAATTCAATAATATAATCAAACCAAAAACACTGAAATTTGATATATAGCGCCAAGTTCGCACATTGCTGAGCAAAGTCGCAAAATCGTTTTCAGTATCTGATGACGAATTTCCCCACGAATCATCACTCAATTCTGCAAGTGGTTCTGATTTACTATCGCTGTTCTCTAGCTGATCTAAACCCGCTTTTGACCTAAAGGGACACTTTTTGGACGCCATGGACTTTTCTAAGTTTCCAGGCAGAAAGAACATTCAAAATGCAGACAGGGGACAGGACAAAGCACTAGGGACAAAATGTATGTGAAATGGGTTGAAACAGCAATGTTTTACTATGTATAATCGTTTTGAAAAAAAATGACTTTTTTTAAATTTTCAAATTTCCCGCCGCCGCCGCTGCCGGCGCCCGTACGTCCCGATGTCACAGGGACCGGAACACAGGAGCCGGATGCCGGCATCTGCCTTAGGAGATGGCTGGGGACGCTGCAGGGGACACATCGCTGGAGCAAAGGACAAGGTAAGTGCTGCAGGGACTCCCTATGCAGCACCGCATGGTAAGCCCAAGTGTAGCTCGGGGTTACCTCTTTTGGTACAGACATTTTACCCCGAGCTACACTCGGGAATACCGTTAGGGAGGTTAAAGTTACTTTACAGCAGCAGAAGACCACACCTGGTGCCACTCCTGTCAGCTAAGAACAGGAAAACGGAGGCTACAGTTTGCACAGCCTTACCAAAATTGGATAATAGAAGATTGGAAAAACGTTGCCTGGTCTGATGAGTCTTGATTTCCCTACAGATGGTTGTGCATGAAAATCCCAGTAAATCACCGGTTTTTGAAATACTTAGGCCAGCCTGTCTGCCACGTTCAAAGTCACTTAAATCCTCTTTATTCCCCATTCTGATGCTCGGTTTGAACTTTAGCAAGTCATTTTCACCACATGTAGAAGCCTGAGTTGCTGCCATGTGATTGGCCGATTAGCAATTTGTGTTACAAGCAATTGAACAGGTGTACCTAATAAAGTGGCCAGTGAGTGTATATAAGATGCACAAGTCAAATGCTATGTCCCTCAATGAGCAAAAAAAAAATATTTGTAGTTTACAGCTAATCAGCATCAAGTATTTGCCTAATATAACAGTATAATAAATAAAGTAAAACTAAAGGCAAAACTTTTTTTTTGTTTTGGGCAGAGTGGAGAGGTACACTGTCTGTATCCCCTTTGGGTAGATGTCTAGATTTGTCCTGTTTACCATTATCATCAAAAATGAAAGTGAAAAAAACTCATATTTTGGGGTTGTCCCCAGAACAGTAACAGATGGAACATGTTCCAATGGGGACACTAGTTCTGGAGACGCCAGTGACAACCAGGGATTCCTTCACTTTAAAGGGAATTCCTTTCACTTCCAGTTTTGACTATGAGACAGAAAGTGATGGGAAATCTCCCTATTGGGACATAGATGGCAAAAAATAACTAACAGGAGTTATAAACCCCTCTTACTCTGTCCAAAAGGAAAGGAAAGTTCTACTTTAACCTAAACATTTGTATTTTTCTTTAACAAAGCATACCAGAACATTCTGTTCTGAAAACACATCACCAACATGCACATTGTAGGAATATGTTCGGGGCCATTGAAAAAGATATGTTTTAGCTAATAAGACAGTTATCAGCATGAGATGGTGTATTTTTGTGTTGCAAAGCCCTTTGAAAGGAAATGCTTACAGAGAATAAAATGAAATACAGTGTGACCTCAAAGCATTATGTTTGTAAAAGTGTCTACAATCACACACTGTAAATGTGTTCTCTAAAGTCATAAGTTATTTGCTTATCCATTTCATATTCCAAATACCAGATCCATTGCATTTGTAGATCAACGATATGGGGAAGGTCCTAAAAAGTAGGATATTATACAATGGGAGTGTACTCCTCAGCTATCATGATTGAAAAATGGTAAGCTTTATTCAATTAAAAATAATTCATTGAAAACTATGTGAAAAAAAATGAAGTACTCTCATTTTAAATTTTCCAGCCCGGTGTTTCAGTAGTATTTATAGAGAGGAGAAGGGGAACCTTGGGGAATGTAACGTGCTATCTCATACTTTCCTCCAGCTCCACTTCTTCCTCTCTCACTCTCCCAGACTGACCACTGCCCTCGAAGGCATTTTTACATTTGCATAACAATTCCCACTTCTTGCATCAGGGCTGAGGGCCCTAGACAAGAGCACTGAGGGAGGATGCTGTGATAATTTCAGGATGCTATGTACAGCACCCCGCTGGCCCCTCCCACCAGCCATGATCTTCCTGCATTGCACTGAAAAGCCCAGAGACCCAGTGATGGCATCACTGGGACTAAAATAAGGCATGTAATAAAATGAAAGGGTTTTATTGATAAATGTCATTGGCTTCTTGATGAGTGAAAAAAGAAGTAACCAGAGAAGCAAACTATAAGCAGATTAAATTTCAGCTTTAATTTAAAGTAGTTGTAAACCTCAGAGCATACCCCTCTATAATGTGCACCTGTGTGGGCAGTGGGCCAGCAGCAACGCCATTTGCATCACAATGATGAACCTCAGCTTGTATGTAGATATGGAGAATGTAAGTGTGTTGAAATGATATTATAATTGGAAACACATACATGCCACCAATTGATATTGTTGTTATAATATGACGTAAAAAACTGTTTTGTTAGAGTAACTGTTATGGTATACTGATGTTGTACCTATTATATTGTGACCAAGAAAAAATACTAGTATTCCCCTGGGACTTTATATGGCAAAAACTACATTAATTATACACAAGTATGCAACTGTTAAAAAAAGTATACACAAGCCTAAAATGGTAATGTTTATTACAAAAGATTATTAGCCAATAGGTTTGATAAAGTGAATTCCAATACAATGGTTCATGGTATACATACAAAACATACACAAAATGTGAATAACCTGACAGTCTGTAATACCTCAGCTGGCAAAAAAATGCTAGCAGCTTAAAAGAACTCAGTGATGTTATCCAGACAAAACCAACGCGTTTTAGAACTCATGTTTCCTTCTTCAGGAAATAAGCATGTCATGTCTAAAACATAACAGCATATCAGAAAATAGTGAACAACATAGTACATAATATTACTTTGAGACTACATAGAAAATAGCTGATTACTCAAACACTTACAAATTGCATCACATCACATAGTGATAGATACTCATAAAGAATTGAATGCGGCCATGCTACGGCTTCACCTAGCAACCTGGGGGGATAATCGTCATATTTAATTACCAATTACTTTTGGTGCCAAACACAGGCCACTTGCCATTGGTTTGGGAATACTCTACTACTACTATTAATACCAGCTCCCCTGCACCTCCATTCTTTTTGGATGGTCTTTAGACAGCTCTGTGTGACAATACAGAGGCACCATGGTGAGTGTTGTACCATACTTTAATACTTCAATGTCCTCTTGTGCTCTTCCCTAAGTGGGGCAAGTTCTTCAGTACTTGGGCCCACATAGATGTTTTTTGCTAACTTGACCTAAGTGGATGGATCAGGCTATTTATTATATTATTGTATTTTTCAGAGCCTATACATTAATAATTTATGTGCAGGAGCTACATAATATACTACCCTCTTATGTTAAACAACAAGTAATATATATACATATATATATATTGAATGCAAATAGAAAAAACACAGCGCCCAGGACCAACTCACTAACACCCTCTTGAGAACGCCCTGTGGGTGGGGCGAAACGCATTGACGTACTTCCGGCTGGTCGTCCCAACATCCTACATCATTTCCGGTGAGTGGAACCCACGCCGAGCGGTGCGTTCCAAGTGGCCATTTTGTTAAGTGGAGAAGGTTTTTCTTTGAAGTCTGTCATCCTGCTGTGTACAAGGCTGTGAGGTCCTGTTACAAGATTTGTGGAATTTCGTTTTTATCTACAATAAATGCTGGTTATTATCTTTCAAAATGTGAGTGGTCTGGCTTAAAGTAGATTTTAAGTAAGAGTCATAACAGTATCACACTATTAGTTTTTTTTCTTCCTGGAACTTGGTGGAGTTGGCGAGGGGAACAATTGGAGGAATATCCATATCTCTGAGGTGAAAATAGTGAAGGTCATAAAGGGGGTCTAGGAGCCCTAAATAATCCTGAAAGGCGTTGTACTCACCAAATATCTGGTGAGTGCGTTTCATGTTGGTTTTTGCACTGGTGGATGGTGGAAGGATCACTATAGGCATTGAAGATTTTCAATCAAAGGAAAAGTTCTTTGGGGCACTGGAATTTTCTCTCTTTTTTTATGTGTCACTGGATTTTTTTTTTTGTTGTATGGGTCACTTGATTTTTTTGTTAATTTTTTTTTTTTTTTTTGTTTTTGTAGGTATCACTGGACTTTTAATTTTAATATTTTATTTTTTTTTGATACTTATACCAAAGTATAATGTTTATTATTTATTATTGCTCACTTATACTGATTGGTGTGAGATAGTTTGTGTTTTGCGCTGGTTTTATATTTGAAAAAAAAATATATATATATATATATATATATTTCCTTGATTTATGGCATTGTTTATACTTGACAGATCCCCTAAATGGCTGCTGCGGCGCGGTCCTCACTGATGGATGTTTCATCGGTGTGTCCTTGCCTATTCTCCCCCTGACATGCAACTGGGAGAGTGTTGCCATTCAATTCTTTATGAGTATCTATCATCCACTAAGTGATGTGATGCAATTTGTAATTGTTTGAGTAATCAGTTTTTTTCTATGTAGTCTCAAAGTAACATTATGTACTATGTTGTTCACTTTTTTTCGATACGCTGTTATGTTTTAAACTTGACATGCTTATTCCCTGAAAAAGAAAACATGAGTTCCGAAACACATTGGGTTTGTCTGGATAACATCACTGTATGAGTACTTTTGAGCTGTTAGCATTTTTTGCCAGCTGGCGTATTACAGACTGTCAGGTTTTTCACGTTTGTGTATGTTTTGTATGTATACCATGAACCATTGTATTGAAATTCACTTTATTAAACCTATTGGTTTGTTTTCATTATAATAATCTTTTGTAAAAACATTATCATTTTATACTTGTGTATACTTACTGTAGTTTTTGCCATATAAAGTCTCAGGGGAATACTACTATTTGTTCTTGGTCTTTATATATTGGGATGCTGGTAAAAACAGTCTAAAAGGGGGGCACTTTACCAATTTCTTTTCATTTTTGTATACATATTATATTGTAGAATCATTATACCTATCTCTTTACCTTGAAGAAGGAATGTCGGGACATTTTGAAGACTACACTACGGTTGACCAATTTATACTTTCTTTGACAGTATTCTGTTGGTGTGTCTCCATATATTAGGATATATGTACTCAGTATCGTCTTTTGATTGTATGCACTATCACACTGTATATTTGGTTTTGTTGACCTTTGTGGTCCTTTTGCTTTTATGAACAATACATTCCTCCTAATAAAGATTGATACTGCTTTTAGCATAGCCTGCTTTTGTATACATTTTTTCTGCCTTTAAAGTCCCAGAGGGATTCTTTTTCATTATTTTATGTCCGTTTGCTGCTCTATGGTGTGTACTTGTCTCAAATAAGAACACTAACTATAATTTCTGTTTGCTGTTTCTTTCTTTTGCTATCAGTATGAGTCACTTCTGACAAGTTTTCCTGACACCAAGAGAAAAAAGGTGACAGGGGAGGGAGCTCCAGCACACAGTCTGTAATTGACAGCCTCAGCTTTGCTGCTGTTTGCTGTTTGAAGGGGTGTGTCCTTTCCCTCCAATCAGCTCTCAAAGCTCTCCTCACTGAGCTCTGCACAGTATAAATTCATTTCTCTGCCCCCTGTTTTCTGAGAGCTTCAGACAAGCTTTATAAATTCTGCACTTTGAACAGATATAGAGAAGAAAATACCGCAGATAAACAGTTACAACTTATGTAGGAGGATTTATTTAAGCTCTGTGTATCACCTGATGCCAGTCATTCACTGGGTATATGTAACTATTTTAAGCAGAAATTAGGAAACCTGCCAGATAAAGCAGATATTCTGTCAGATCTGCTGGAGACCTGCATGGCTCCTACGATCTACTGATCACTGGTGCAATGCTTTCCAGGCTCCTGAAGACAAAAATGTAAAAAAAAAACATTGTTTTACCTGCAAAAAATGTGCATTTATTATTTTTGTGCAAAAAGTGAACTTATCCTTTAACCACTTCAAGTCCAGGCACTTTCACCCCTTTCCTGTCCAGGCCAATTTTCAGATTTCAGTGCTATCACACTTTGAATGACAATTGCACGTTCATGCAACAATGTACCCATATGAGACATTTTTGAGACAGATAAAACTTTATTTTGGTGGTATTTATTCACCACTGGGATTTTTATGTTTTTGCTATAAAAATGAAAAAGTCCAAACATTGTGGAAAAAAAAGTGTTTTTCTTATAAAATTTTGCAAATAAATAACCTTTCTTCATAAATCTTGGCCAAAATGTATTCATCTATCTTCATATGGGTACAGCGTTGCATGACCGCACAATTGTCATTCAAAGTGTGATAGCGCTGAAAGCTTAAAACTGGCCTGGACAGGAAGGGGGTAAAAGTGTCCGGTATTGAAATGGTTAAATACTGTATATACTTGTAATTATAATATTTAATATTAATATAATAATGGAGATTTCACATGAAGTAATTATCTAACAAGCCTCACATTATGACACTCCAGTGAAGAGGATGTGACAAATTTTGAGGTTTGGCCATCACCTGGGGTTGGAGCAAACAGCTTCATGGAGGACTTTGGATAGTACAGGTACATGGCGGTATCTTGTGATTGCTCTAAAGCACTAGTATTAGTATTTATTTTTTAATGACATGTTTATAATAAATGCACAAAGTTAAAGCGACACTAAACTCTGGTCTGTTCAAGTATTAATTATTAAGTATATTCTATTGCTCTCAGCTTCCTCCAAATCCCTTTTGCTGCTGTGATCCAACTTCATGTTTATGTTTGTTCTCCATGGTCCCACTGTATGCAGGAACATAGACTACTGTATGAACTATGGGATTTGTAGTGTGCATAAAGCAGAGGACTTGACTACAACTAATGTGCAGTGCTCAGTCCAAACAAGTGAGAGGGAAAAGAAGAGGTTCAGGAGCTCAAAGAGGATGTTGCAAGAGGCAGAAAAACACAGTAAGGAATTATTTAATGAATAATTGATTACAGAATCCTTAAAGTGGAGCTGCACTGCAACTGAGCCCCACAAACCAAAAATGCTAAACTCCCACATCCATCCATCCATGTCTCCGTGCTTTATTTGTTGTGAAGTAATTTTGAAAAACACCTCGTGGCATTTCTGGCATCTTGAGTAGGGGCAGAAGATTCATGCAGTATTTACTTCCTGGAATCCATCTGCCCTTAGCTCAGGCATTTGGCTGAGCTGAGAACCCTCCCCTCTGAAGACAGGTGGAATATGTGACAGCCTAGCTTTGGAAACCAGGAAGTAACTGAAGAAATGTAAAAAAAAGTTTAAAACAAGTAAATATGATAAACTTTCCTATATATTCAGTATAAGGCTCCATGCACATGGGGTGTTTTGATAATGCTGGTAACGTTAGCTGTGTAAAGTCCCATTAAAAACGAGCGGTTTCCAGCTTTTTTTCAATCATTTTTGCATTAGTGTTAGCTGCGTTTTTCTACATTTTTCCATGTTTGCATTTTTAGTGTTTTTTTTGGTAAAAAAAAAGTCCAAAACCACCGGTATGCGGCATTTACCATGTTTTACTGTGTTTTGCAGCATCAGAGCATTTTTACAGCTAAAAAACTCCTCTAGAAACCCACTAGTCCTGGGTTTTTTTTCCAGCCAAAAAATGTCCCTGCCAAAAAACGTTGATTACAGTCATGTGTGCATGGACACATAGGATAACATGCTGGGGAGTTTACTGGCTGTAGAAAAAAAGTCAAAAGCCAAAAACAGCCGCTGTAAAAACATCCTGTGAGCATGAGGATTTAGGATTACAAATAGCCCATGTTGATTGAGAAAGTGAAGTTCCACTTTAAGTAGTGAATGTGTACAATTTTTAATTTTTTCAGAACATGGAAATGCAAATATTTTAGTAAACATAAACTGCTAAATACCTTTTCTCATCAGCAGTATATAGCAGTCTTGTGACTTCTATCATTGTCCTGCTGAGCACTGGTTTATCTTGTAGGAGGAGTTTTCATTCTCCTCTAACTGTCCTATGAGGCTGCATGACCCCTGTCATCTGTCTGGACAGCGCTGATTGGCCCTGTGCTGATCACATGCACTCTCCCAAGAAAAAAAGAAACTCTCTAGTAATACACACCAAACTGAGCATATGCAGAGTGCCTCCTAGGGCTCTGTACTATCAGCAGATGGACTGGGGACTGTGGAAGAAGGGGAGGATCAGAGAAGATAGGATCAAACAGCCTTTTTACACAATGCCCCTTAGATTCCACAGTGAGTATACAAAGCATGCTTCACTGCAAATACAGATTGATTTTACTGTTGTGGGTTTAGCAACACTTTAAGAGCACGCAACATCTAAGATGAGTTCAGAGGATGCTGTTTATGAGCACTGACAGATGCTGTCAGAATAGACATAAATGACTTCTGCCTGAGATTCAAAGGCAGCCTACAGAGGGGATGCTGAGAGCGAAGACCTTCTAGATGAAAGAGAACATGATCACTACAAATAATATGTAGTGAGGAAAGGATATGAGAATCACTTGCTGATAGGAGACTGCAAAAATCAATGCAACCAAGATTGACAAAGATAACACTAAATTTCTATGTCATTTTGCATTAACCCCTGACTAGTTCTTGGCATGTCTGGATTTTTGGGACAGAATTTAGCCATACCCAAGTAAAATAAAGTCTTGTGATCCTTACCTGATAAGGCACTATAAAAATTCTATTTCTAAAAACCCAACAAAAGACGTTCTCAGAAAGAAAAAAAGGATTCCTATATGCAGCTATGGATATTATAGGGGTTTCTTTCATGTGTGATCATTTTTAAGTAGCTAGTTTGATAGTTATTTCTGATTGCTTTCATGTCTCCACAATTTGAAGACAAATAGCTAAACTGAGAGAGTCACATCATATCGAGGTCCTAGACTTTAGCTTTCCCACAGGCTTCAGAAATTCTCTCAATTTCATGCTTGTCTGCACAGCTTTATTTACACTGAAACTCCTTTGCCATCAGCTTCACAGCACAAACTAGAGATGATTTGTTGCATATCTATGCCATTTTTTTTACAAAAATAAAGGTTAAAAAAAGGAAAAGAATGTTTTGTAAATTGAGTTAATAAAATGTTAAATATACTCATGGCAGATACTGATTTCTTCATTTTGTTAAATGTTTTTCTTTTACTTTAAGTAAAGCTGTATAATACCAGAAATGCAAATATATATTGCACTGAAAAAAATGTAAGTGCAAAATCTTTTCAAACACGTTTTCAACATCATTTGTTCTTGTACTGTATTTTCCAGACCATTCACAATTTTGGCTTTCACAGGCCTTGTATTAAAATGCAAGCTTGGCTTACTAGCTTATCCCTCCAAGATACAGTATGGAAAAAAAAACAAAAAAACGCAAATTAGAAAAAAATATTTTATTTATATCCTAGCTTCTGCCCTGGCACCTATTAGAGGGTGACAACACAAACCTTCCAGTGGGATCATGGGAATGTGGAGGATCCCAAATCTTAAGAGAAGATGCTTCTACATGTTGCTTCTATGTATGTATGTATATAGATGGTATTTAAGTTTTATTTAATTGTATATTTTTATTTATTTCATATGGCGGTGAGAGGATCTAACTAATAAGTGGACACTTCACTTTGCTTTAAAGCAAAAAAAAATTTGTTACCTTGCAACTCACCAAACCTTAAATGTGGTGGCTGCATTTTTTTAGGCTTTTTTCTCTTTAGATGGTGATCCAGCCAGTAAAACACTTCCTATCTTAGGGTGTCTCCACTCTAGATGGAGGAACAATGGAGCCACCCTTGGACAGCAGAATTGCCAATCTAGGGAGAGGGTAAGATGCACATCTTTATGTAAATATAGTGCCTTGAATAAGTATTCATACACCATGAAATTGTCCACATTTTGTCATATCACAACCAAAAATGTAAATGTATTTTATTGGGATTTTATGCGATAGACCAACACAAAGTGGTACAAAGATGTGAAGTGAAAGGAAAAATGGTTTTCAAATTTTTTTACAAATAGATGTCTGAAAAGTGTTATGTGCATTTTGTATTCAGCCCCCTTTACTCTGATACCCCTAACTAAATTCTAGTGGAACCAATTACCTTCAGAAGTCACCTAATTAGTAAATAGAGTCCACCTGTGTGTAATTTAATCTCAATATAAATACAGCTGTTCTGTTAAGCCCTCAGAGGTTTGTTAGAGAACTTTAGTGAACAAACAGTATCATGAAGGCTAAAAAACACACCAGACAAGTCAGGGATAAAGTTGTGGATATGTTTAAAGCAGGGTTAGGTTATACAAAAATATCCAAAGCTTTGAACATCTCACAGAGCATTGTTCAATCCATCATCCGAAAATGGAAAGACTATGGCACAACTGTAAACCTACCAAGACATGACCGTCCACCTAACCTTACAGGCCAGGCAAGGAGAGCATTAATCAGAGAAACAGTCAAGAGGCCTATGGTAACTTTGGAGGAGCTGCAGAGATCCACAGCTCAGGTGGGAGAATCTGTCAACAGTACTACTATTAGTCATGCACTCCACAAATCTGGCCTTTATGGAAGAGTGGCAAGAAGAAAGCCATTGTTGAAAGAAAGCCATAAGAAGTCCTGTTTGTAGTTTGTGAGAAGCCATGTGGGGGACACAGCAAACATGTGGAAGAAGGTGCTCTGGTCAGATGAGACCAAAATTGAACTTTCTGGCCTAAAAGCAAAATGCTATGTGTGGCGGAAAACTGATACTGCACATCACCCTGAAAACACCATCCCCACCGTCAAACATGGTGGTGGCAGCATCATGTTGTGGGGATGCTTTTCTCCGGCAGGGACAGGGAAGCTGATCAGAGTTGATGAGAAGCTGGATGGAGCCAAATACAGGGCAATCTTTGAAGACAACCTGTTAGAGTCTGCAAAAGACTTGACACTGGGGTAGAGGTTCTTCTTCCAGCAGGACAATGACCCTAAACATACAGCCAGAGCTACAATGGAATGGTTTAGATCAAAGCATATTCATGTGTTAGAATGGCCGAGTCAAAGTCCAGACCTAAATCCAATTGAGAATCTGTGGCAAGACTTGACTCCATCCAATCTGACAGAGCTTGAGCTATTTTGCAAAGAAGAATCAGCAAAACTTTCACTCTCTAGATGTGCAAAACTGGTAGAGACATACCCAAAAAGACTTGCAGCTGTAATTGCAGTGAGAGGTTGTTCTGCAAGGTATTGACTCGTGGGGCTGAATACAAATGCACAACACACTTTTCAGATATTTATTTGTAAAACATTTTAAAAACCATTTATCATTTTCTTTCCACTTAACAATTATGTGCCACTTTGTGTTGGTCTATCATATAAAATCCAAATAAAATGTCTTTGGTTGTAACATGAGAAAATGT